GGTCTTAAGCACGAATCTAGTGAAAGTTAGCCCGTATCCCACAATTAAAGTGTCCTGTGTTACTTACCCAGGAGGAAGAGCATGCTTGTACATGCACTTGTCGCCGCCGTTCGGACAAATCCAAAACCAACCGTACTTGCCCTCCTCGATAGCCTGGATGAAGAACTTGCACACCTTGTCGGTCGACGTCCTCTGGTTCCCCTTCTTGGACAGGACGACGGACCGCAGCTTCTCCTCGTCCCAGTCGGCCGAAGTCTCCTGCTTCTTGGTGTCCTCCTCCTCCCGGGTGTCGGTGTAGAGGTTCCTCTTCTCAACCTTGCGCTCCATCTCGAGGTCGTGCGAAAACTTGCACTTCTTGCCCTTCTCGCAATTCCCCTTCTTGAAGAAAATACAGACCACCGTTTTAGGATCGACGCCAAACGGCACCTTCTGAATTTGCGCGGGCCTGTTGAGCAGCAACTCGGCCTCCCGCTTGGCATCCTCAGCGGCCTTCTTCTCGCGCTCGCGGGCCGCCTTCTCGGCCTCCTTGCGCTTCTGCTCGGCGCTCCCGCTGGCCTGCATAGACGACTGCATGGCAGCAATCGTCTTCTTGGCAGCGGCGCCCTTCTTGTTCTTCATGCCGAAGGTCTTGTCCTCGACAGCCTTCTTGGCATCCTTCTTGACAGCCACCTTCTGTTCCCGTTTCGGAGGCATGGTGGGCAATTTGGTGAGTGTGAACTGGGAAATTGGGTATTGCGGTCTGCGGCGACTCGGGGGTATCAACGCGGCGGGCGGCCGGCTGTCGTGCGGGTGGTTGTCGAGATTTTGTGCAGAAGGCAAACTCGCAGTTTCCAGGCGGGGATCTGCCCGAAACAGTGTTGTGGTCCAGAGTTCTGAATGGTCTCGTTTCTGCCCCACCCTCCCACTCCAGCCCTGACGTCTGAGCAGCGAGCCGAAGGCGGCCGCACGTGATCTACAGCTAAATCCCTGGGAGGGTGGGGCTGTACCAGTACATGCGCCCCTGGAGGACGCCTTATCGCAACCGCGACGGCTTGAAAGCTGTCGATCTAACATCACCGTCCTCAGCTTCCCGCGTCACGCACCAAACACACCAGGCACTCCAGGCACTCCAGGTACGGCATTTACCAATCAGTTGTTGCGCATTGCAGTGGATACTTACCGCGTCTCCAGAACTCCGTTTTGCCGTCCGCCAACCCATTCGCGAGCATCCCCAAGCCGACGCCGTCAGCGCCAACTCTCCTCCGCCATGATCACCGACTCGGAACTTTACCGCCTGGCCATCGTCCTTGGCTCGGCGGCTATGGTCCTAATCATTCTCTATCACTTCTTTGAAGTCAACGCCAACGAGAACGAGCGCGAGGCTGTCAACGAAAAGGCGCAAGCGAAGCCCGCAATGACCAAGACAAGATAGAAGTGGCATGAGGGAAGAATGTACGATACGGCAAGAAGTCACGCGTATGTCTCTCCAACCGGACCGCTCGGCGGCAAAATTCAGGGCTTGGCCAAAGGAAAGCCGTTGGGAACATCATACGGCGATCAATAGTTTGCGCTGGGCAGGCCAAGGAGGAGAATACGAGCTGTTCATGGTGGCAGTGGCCTGAGCTACATGTCTCAACTACTGGGGACAAAGCTGCTGGTTTCGTTGCAAGCACATGTTTAAGCACAGGGCTGTTACAATACCCTTGGAGTTTGGTTTTGTTCTGTATGTAATTGTCTGGGTCTAGAAGTTGTTGGGAGGTGCCAATAAAAGTCAACACATTGGCGAGTCTCTGCAACAGTTTGGCCTAACTTGCGCCACCTTCCTTTTTCCTCAATCTGAAAGCATTACACAGATTGTAAATCAGCAAGTGAGCTCGCCGCTTTGTTAATCAAGTGCTTCTTCACACCTGGCATTGAGTTCAAAGGGACCAACTCTCCCTGATGCATTGACTGAAGACGGCTATCGAACCCCATGCAGACGATTGGCCAGAACTTTGGAAAACCAAAGTACCGGTACACACGTCACCTTAGAGCGACAGGAGAGCCTAATCCCAAAACGGTTAGCACATCTCGTCCACAGCCCCGCGCCACCCTGGCCTGGGGCGCTGGGCCGCTTGCCTTGTTGGGTCTTGTCTGACTCCCAGCTCCCTCTCGATCGCTCCCTCAAATTCTCGCGCGTCTTCCCCGGCTCCGCTGCCTGTTCCTTCCAGCATCACTCCATCAACCAACTCCATCAAACCCGGCCATCGCCATCCTATTCACTGCATTCAGGCTCGCATTCAGTCTTTTTGCCTGAATCTTTCGATTCTGCCAGCGTCAAAAATATTCAACCTTCCTTTCTCCTCTGCTGCCCAACTGCACCGACCGCGACTTCACGCGCCGTGCAGCAGCAACAAACGGTGAACTCGGCGACCAACCGACCACCATCTCTTCAAACCTGCCACTCAACCCTCGAGAGCGAAGCCCACTCAGCTTTCGCATCCCACTGCTCCTTCACTTAAAGAGCTGCGCTCATCTTCCTGCCTTTCACAACCCAAACCACTTCAACCCACCTTCGCATTCCCACCACCAACATGTCCGGCAAGCTCGACCAGTCTCTCGACGAGATCCTCTCCAGCCGCCGCGGCACTCAGGGCCGTCGCCGCTCTCAGCGCCGCCCCGCTAGCACTACAGGCAGCCGGCCCACTCCCACTGCTCCCGCTGGTGGCATCCAGAAGAACACGAAGCCTGCGCGCAATGCTTCCAAGCCTACTCCCGCCAAGGGCGCCGGCCTGGCTGGCGAGAGCAAGATCATGGTCAGCAACCTGGTAAGTCGTCATCGCACAGCTTCCCTCTGCATTAGAGATTGCTGCTAACATCGTGACAGCCCAAGGATGTTTCCGAAGGCCAGATCAAGGTATGTTACTACCGATGAGGCCACCCATGCCTTCCGATTTTCGTCGGCGATTCCTGTCGCGGCATATCCTATCGACGTCTTGTCCTCGGTGGACATTGGGGGGTGATCATACCCAAATCCCAGCGCTTGACAGCGACTGTCATGATGCCAAAGCTCCTTCCCGATGCGCCGCCTGGCCACCATCGAGGCTGCCCAGCCGCTGGAAGTTGAGCTGGCTCTCATCTTGCTGCATATTCACGCCATTCGGGTTGCCTGGCAAGCTCCCGTAATGTGGACGTACTGCGCAGATGCTCCAAAGAGCAACGGCAAATATCAGACAGCGCCTAGCTGAGGATTCCTCGCACATCTCACCTGGCTGGTCACCAGGTTGACGATCCCATACTCAGCGAGCTTAGCAGTGAGCAGAACGTTGCGGCTCTCCTTTCTCCCCTAGCTCCTAGCTTTGGCGGTTGTATCGGACTAGAGCTCATGTATGACGATGCTGGTGGTTCCAGCATCGTCGGGATTTTCCCTTGGAGGTTGCGTCATGTGGAACAGGAGTCTTCTCCAGGATGGCTGGGGTTTAGCATGGTTCGGTCACGTCGTACACTCTGTCGCCTCTCAACAAGGACCCGTGGTCTCGCTCACGGGTCAGTCGGTCGGTCGGTTTCAGGGGATGATGGACGTGGCTCACCTGCCAGTAGCTGGTGATGCCCTGAAGAGAACGCTCACTGCTCTGCTCGCTGGTTTCTGGCTACCTGCTCCCAGGACGCTCCTGCCTACACGAATGCCTTGATGGATCGAGACGTCGACCCCCGGATACGGACCGCTCGAATATTCCATCTTTATTTGACGCTAACCACCGATACCCCTCGATAGGACTATTTCCAGCAGTCAGTTGGTCAGGTCAAGAAGGTCGAGATCTCATATGGCCCTGGTGGTGTCAGCCGTGGCCTCGCCCATGTCACCTTCCACCACGCCGACGGCGCCAGCAAGGCCTTCACCACCCTTAACGGTCTCTTGATTGACAACAAGCCTGTCAAGGTACGAGCCCCGAATCCAAAGTTGAACAAAAATATGGTTACTAATCCTGCCCAGGTCGAGGTTGTCGTTGCTTCTGCCGACCTCATCCCCCAGCCCAAGAGCCTGGCTCAACGCATTGCTCAGCCCAAGGTCCAGCCCAAGTCTGCCGCCGCCGTCAAGCAGAACGCCGGTGCCAAGGGTGGTCCCGCCGCCGGCAAGGGGGCCAAGAAGCCCGCTGCTCGTCGTGGCCGCAGCAACCGCCCGGTTAAGAAGACCGCGGAGGAGCTTGATTCGGAGATGGCTGACTATTTCGTCGGCGCCAACGCCGAGAACACCGCCAATCCCGCTGCCCCTGCGGCTGCCGCCGGCGGCGACGCCCCGATGGAGGAGGACGTGCTCTGAGCGAAGGGAACAATGCAGGACATTTCCTGGGTTTGCCTGCGAACAAACAACAGCAGGCCGATGGTGATTTCCTCGTTAGCCGGGTTCGAGCGGCGTTTTCATGTACGAAATGAGTCTCGGTTGGGCATTTGGGAGGGTCGGTTGGGCACAGTTCTTGACTTTTCAGAATTTCAGCATTTTTAGGCAGATTGGCACCTTCTTCGTAGCCTTGTCGGGCGTCCTGTGTAATTGACCTTAGCGGTTCTTTATCGCATACATTTGGGGTGGGATTTTGTGATGTCTGTTGATCATCCAGTCTCTTCCAGACCAATACTCTACCATACAGAAGTGGTCATCGGCCCTCAACTTCCAACCTCAGGTCAGATTGTATGCACGAACCAACGCCTGGTGGTTTGCCGCTTCTACTGAATGAGTCCATTTGGGCCTCTTCGGAAGTTTCATCATGATGGTCGACACACCAGGGATAAGTCCTCACATAGCTCATGATCACCAACCATACCTCCATTTCCCCCCTTCTCCATTTTCATCCATGCCTTCCACACTACTTACACCACCACACCCTCCCAACCCCATCCCACAAACCGCCCCTCTCTCTTCTCTGACGATAAATCCTCTTTGTGGAGTCCCACCACCAATCCACACCATTCATAAACTCCCCTCCACCCCCATCTCCATCGCCAAGGAGTCTCGTCTCCTCAACCTACTCCACCAAAAAGAAAAAGGGCGTGTGGCTCAGTTGGTAGAGCGTTCGCTTAGCATAATTCCCTGGTCCGATCTTGATGAGAGAGAAGACTGACGGTTATGCGAAAGGTCCTGGTTCGATTCCCAGCTCGTCCAATCAAAAGGAGAAGGAATGGAGCTGTTTTTGTGCATTTTTTGTTTTGTTGGCATGATTACGGTTACAGACGGTTGGGTTGAGTTTTTGGGTTTGTGGCCCGTTGTTGGTCTTGAACCCTGAGCATGTGTCTCGGCCTTTGTGTTTTCCTCTTAAGATGAGGAAGCAGTTTGCTGTTAATAGTTGACAACATGGGGTGGGGTGGGGTGGGAGTGTGGAGAGGAGAATAGAAATGGGGATGCGGTTGGTGATGGGTCTCAACACGCCTCGGAGATTGTGAGGATACGGCTTGTCTGTGGCGTGCCGACTATCATGACGAGTCTCTTCTCGCATTTAAGTGAGACGTTTTTAAGTAGTGGGTTTATTGACGGGTGGTCTGGCAGTCTTCTAGGCTTGAGAGAAAAGGTGGAAGTGTTCCGAGGCGATGGGGAAACGCTACTTAAGGTAGGCATGGGAACAACAAGCTTTACCTTAACGATAAAATAACAGGGTTATCGGTCAGTATCAGGTTAGCCAACCTCCTAAATGATTCCAATGTTTGATAAGGTATATGTTGCGGCCAAATATAGGGTATCCTACTACCTTTGCGGAGCAGAGAATCGTTCTGTCTTTCCCTGTCTCAGTTTGGGTTGATCTAGAAGCAAAGCCAGTCATAAACACTCATGTGACTTGTGAAGTCCCATAGCATGAACTCGAATAAGTATCCCTCCTTCTCTTGGAACTCTCTTTGCTAGCTCTTCTTTCTCCATAGTGTTAGCACCTTGATGGGTCGCTTTCCATCTCAGGTAACAAAAAACGAGCCACTTTTTCTCTCTCCTTTACCTTCCCCCTCAGAACTCACAGCTCTCATACTGGCCCAGCCTCTTGCTCGAAGGATCAAATGTCCCAAACCAATATCCCAGAAACACTCAGTCCAAAGGTCTTAACACTTGTATTGTGTCCTAGAGACTTCCAAAAGCAAACCAAAACAAAACTAGCCTTAATAAGGAGGTAAATAGCTACCTGAGTATATCTCCTCCAATACAACTCACCCCCCTGCCCATATTCTGTATTACCCATCTTCACCAACTCCCTCCCAGCCTCCAGCCTGCCAGCTCTCGACTCCTCCCCAAACCCTCCCACAACCCTTCCTTTAACTCCTCCTCAACTCTCACCCCCTGCCCCTTCTCACCCCCTACCACCCCTGTCAACCCCTTCCTTATCTCCCCCTCTTGCCACCTCATCCCTCCGCTGCCATCCCACTTAAATACATGATACCCAACACCCCACCACCGGCCACTACCATCGCCACCATCACCACCGCCACCACTGCGACCGCTACAAACAACCCTCTTCACCCGCCTCAACACTACACCCACCTTGAACCGCAACCGCGACAGCGGCTTGTGTTTTCGGTCTGGAGCATTCATGATTACAAACGGCGTACTAGGCTCAAATTGACAGTCGGACTTGGGCTCTAAAATTGTCATCCCGACACTCATCTTCTTGGGCTGATGGCGAAAAATGGAATTGGTGGTTTTGCCGTGCTCGTTAATAACTGGTGTGCCCAGGGCTTTGTGTTCGTTGTCTCTGAATCTGGATTTGAATGGCCTTTTTTTTTTCCCGAAGAGAAGACATGTAGGATTGGGAGGTGAGGGCGAAGAATCGGGAAGGGAGTGGTGTTTATAAAACACATTAGTCTTAATTTGAGTGATTAGACACGGCCCGGTCGTGATTTAGGACGAGGTGTCGATGTGTCGGACATGGCAGTCATGAGCGGAGCGTATTGATTGTCTTCGTGGGCAGCTGTTTCAAGGTGAATGATGGGTCGGCGGTGTCTCTAAGTCAGGAGGCTATCCCGGATGAAGGCAGAGACAAAGAAATGGGCATCTGATACTTACCGTGATGTCAATTGTTCCCTTTTTTTTTCTTTCCTTGCATACTGCTTCCCGCGGCCCCGTGGAAATTCTGCCATGGCCAACGCCATTTCGGACAAAATAGACTTGTCAACCACGTTACTCTGATGTTTCCTTTCCGCAACATCGTCCGTTGAGCGAAGCGTCTGAACAAATCAATGCTCATCGCAAAAGACAGTAACAAACCACGAGACGCGGTTTGGGTGCGATGATAGCTCCATTCGCTAATCACAAGAGAATAACCTGTCTTAATACAATCGGATTTGCCCTGCCTCTGCGCCTGCTCCCGAGCTTGCCATGCGGAGCGGCTCATGGCCCCTTTTGCCGACCCGTCATCATCATGGCTTCATAAGCTTCCCCAGCCTGGCGTGGTGGTACCAAAGTATGGGTTCCAGAGTTGTGGGTTTGGTCCCGACATGTTGCATGCTCTAAGAGCTCGTGACCGCCTCCTTGCCGTCCTTGAGGTCCTCGGCCGTCTCCTTCTTCTCGTCCTCCTCCTCGCCCTCGAGTGGCGGCATGTCGTCGTCCGACTCGTCCTCGTCGTCGTCCATCCCAGGCATACCAGGCATGCCACCGCCGCCGGCCAGCTTGGAGAAATCGATGCCGCCGAAATCGTTGCCGCCTGAGTATTCGTTAGCTCTACCTTCGGGGCAAAACAGTCAAGGGGTGCGAGTCTGCATCGCTCTCCAACTCGGTCCCTCGCTCGACCCAGATAACATGTACGTACCCATACCCGGCATACCTCCTACAGGTACATCTTATTAGCTGGAATTCGGCATTGCAAACGGAGGACAGGGTACACCGCCTTCGCAGAAGTAAACATCACTTACCCATATCACCCATGCCACCCATACCACCCGCGCCAAAGTCCTCATCGACCGCCTCGTCCTGCTCATCCTCATCAACCCACTTATCGAAGTCAGTCTTGACAAAGTGGACCTTCCCAGCAGCCTTGAGAAGACGCGGCCAGAACTCCTCCTTGAGCTCCTTCTTGCGCAGCTTCATCTCAACGTCGCGGGAGGTGTGGTTGACCTTGCTCGCGGCGGGGTCGATCTCGGCGTAGAACTCGAGCTCGACATGGTACGTCCTCTTGAGGGTGTCCGAGTGGCCGGTAAAGCTGAGGCCGGTGGGCTTGAGGTCGAGCTTGAGGTTCGAGGTCGGCACGTCGGGCACGGTGATGGTCAGGTAGATGTAGTTCTTCTCGGGGTCGCTGGCGCTGGAGCGCTGGGCCCAGAGGACTGGGGGGATGGGTCAGCGAGGTTGCGACGGGACAGGGATGGAGCTCTGGCGCAGGTATGGTGGTGATGGGACGCGCTTTGGGAGAGATCTAGATAGAAGGAGGCGACTCACCCTCAGGAGTCACCGTGTTGTTGGACATCGTGTTGTTCTATTGCGATTTGTAGTGTAAGCTGGATGTCGAGATGCGGACGGGATGGAGGAAGGACGTGGAAGGGATGTGGAGGAGGGGTAGCTCGGCGCTTGGAAACAAACGTTTGGTTGCTCGAAGCGAGCTAGATTTAGAGAAAGGGTAATTGGGGATGGCGGAGACCAGATTTCCAAGAAGAACTTGCATGAGCTCGAAGTGTGTTAAACTCAAATCATTTCTACCTTAGCTTCCTTCCGTCCTCAACTTGTTGCGTTTGATGGCATCAAGCTCAGGTCCCTCGCCAAGTGGGATGGTGTTGGGAGCTGGAAAGAAGTTGTTACAGAGGGGCTTTGAAGATGGCATGCCACAACATCTCAATGCAAGCTTAAGAGTTCTATCACATGTTCTTCCAGTTTGAATACTCTCTTGGTCAGAAAAGAATTGGCGACGCCTGATTTCTCATGTTTGGCTTGATGACAACCCCATCCTCCTACCTTGCAGCTTCAAGCTGGCGGGGCGATCCACTGCGGGGCAGCCGACAAGCGGGGTTGCCTGCGGCCCCTGGCCTGGTTCAGCTTTCAGGGCGCCTGATGAGGCTCAAACCCTTGGCCAAGGCCAACGACGTCAGCGTCTTCATCAGCACCACTATCAGACACAATCTAAGATACAACTACCTAGCCACACCTGTCAATACCCACCCCCAAAATTTACCCTCCGCGAGAAATCGCGGGTTATCCGTCACCTATCTAGCCCCCGCCCTCGAGGGCTTGACCGGGAGATCGCCCAGCTGCGGGCCGTCGAGACCAAAACCAAAAACTTCATCGTGACCGCCAACAAGCGCGCCACGCGCGGCGACCCCTCGCGGCAGCGGCAAGCCCAGCGCGATGTGCGCGACTTCGCGCGCGAGCTGATCCGCGCGCGCAAGTCCACCGCCCGCCTCGTCACCTCGCGCGCCCAGCTCGCCTCCGTCCAGATGCAGGTCAGTGAGGCGTTCGCGCTGCGCAAGATTGAGGGGAGTATCAAAGCTAGTGTGGGGGTGATGAAGGATGTGAATAGTTTGATTAGGTTGCCTGCGTTGGGCCAGACGATGCAGGAGCTGAGTGTGGAGTTGATGAAGGCGGGGATTATTGAGGAGATGGTGGGGGATATGTTGCCTGTGGATCCGGAGATGGAGGATGAGGAGGAGGAGGCCGAGGGCGAGGTGGATAAGGTGCTTGGGGAGATTTTGAAGGATAGGATGGGCAGGCGGAGGAGGAGGATGAGGAGGATACGGAGGCGATGATGAATCAGATGAGGAATCGGTTGGAGGCGCTGAGGAGTTGATAGGGGCGGGGTGGGATGAGGAGGGTGGGGGTTTGGGTTGATGCGTTGGATTAAAGCTGAGGATGGCGGCGTCTGGGGCGTTTGGGTTTGCAAAGCGTTGGGATGTATACCTAGTGAGGGATTGTTGACGCAGTGCACATAAGCTTTCCTTGTTGAACATGATATGGCTAGGGGCCAACTACACATACCTCCGACCCCGGTTTCAATTTCTACTCCTGTAGCCTGTGATGGGTTTCCTTTCTTTCCGCGGTGCTCTAAATTCCAATTTTCAACCCAACTGTCGATAAGGGTTAAGACTTCAAGGTTGGCCTTTATTTTCAGGTGCGACCTTTTCCTGCAGGAAGACTCTACATCCCACTTGCCGGAAATTCAGAGCAATCTTGTCATGTGTCTGGGGCATTCTTCCCTGGGCTTTTCT